CCAGTCTTTCACCTCTTCCTTGGGACGAGTCACTCGCTCACTGCCATCGAGTTGGGTCAGAGCGACCCTGAAGGACAAGCAGAACTGTCCCCGTGGGGTTCTAAGCCTGACTTTACACGAGTCGAAAGCCGCATCTCTCCCCCTCACAGCACCGGTGGCTTCAGCTTGCTGACCTTTCAGTTAGCAGCCCAACAAGTACCCACTACTCCGCCACCAGAGAGGCGTGGATGAGCCACTAGATTCTTAAATTCTTCGTGTCCAAAAGCAGCAGCTTGATTTCCTTTCTTGAGATTCTTTCCCTCTTTCTCATCTCAGCAAAACAGCACCGCCTTCGCCCAACTGACAACAGCAACTCAGCAAAGGTAAGGGACAGTGAGCTTCACCGGGAAGAGGCACCTGGACAAAGGAGGGGGAGAATGGTTGCACCACTCCACGTGGCCAGCAGTGCTGAATGGAACATGGAGGAATGTTGACTTGGTGTGTGCTCTGCTGTGTCTATCCTCCACAAGCGTCGTGTTTAAACATTGCATCTCGCTCCACCCAAAACTTCATTCAGTATTAGCCCCGCGCCTCCTTTCCCTTCACGCTCTCACCTCCTGCCATTGCTCTCCCAGGACCAGGAGGAGCTTAACGAGCCATTTATCCCAGCTTCCCCCGCACCATTAGCTACTGTTCTCTGATGTCTGTTTCCCACACAGGAAGCAGAAACACTACAACAGAAATCAGACTGCATTTCTCCGTGATGTCGAGTTCAACCCTCCCAATGGCTTCCTCACTTTACCATGAACTCCCACCATCTGACCATGGGCAAAGAGGCTGTGGTGTGGGCCCTCTGTCCCCCACCCACCATGGTTCATGCTGCCCCAATTCGACTCAAGGCCCGTCCTGCCTCGTGGTGTGACACTGATTACAACTCCCAGTGACCCTGTGTGACAGAGTAGAACTGCTCTCTAGTGTACTAGGCTGCAAGTTTTATAGGAAGTCGATCGTCAGGTCTTTTCTTCCGGGGAGCAGCTGGTGGGTTTGAGCCACTGATCTTTCTGTGCGCGGCTGAGGGCTTCCCCCTGCACCATCTGGGGCACGCTGTCCCCTGCGTGGACTTTTCCCTTCTGCACATCTTAGATGAATGCTTGTCATCCTCTTCGAGTCTCAGGTATAATATTGCCGCTTCAGAAATTCCGCCTCCTCAAAGCTGATGTCTGTTCACAGACTTCAGTGCTTCTTCTTTACTGTTTCCTTCACCAAAAAACACCAGGCTAATATTCATGTACTTGGTTCATTGTCTGCTACGTTGTTAGGGTGATGCAGGTGGTAACGTGCAAGACATGTACAAAGCACTTCACATGGCCCTGGACCCAATGTTTGTGACATGCATGTGGGAGTGCAATAGGTCACTGTAAGACTCCACCTCTCCCTTTCCACCCCACCTTCCCTCCACCCTTCCAGTATCACCACTAGTCCTGAAGGGATCATCCACCCTAGATTCCTTATGTTTCCAATTCCTATCTGCACCAGTGTACATCCTCTGGTATAGCCAGATTTGTAAGGTAGAATTGGGATCATGATAGTGGGTAGGGGGTGGGGTGGGGAGGAAACATTTAGGAAATAGAAGAAAGTTGTATATTTCATCGTTGCTACGCTGCACCCTGACTGGCTTGTCTCCTCCCCCCGACCCTTCCCTAAGGGGATGTCCAATTGACTACAGATGGGCTTTGGGACCCTACTCCGCACTCCCCCTCATTCACAATGATATGATTTTCTGTTCTGATGATGCCAGATACCTGATCCCTTCGACACCTTGTAATCGCACAGGCCGGTGTGCTTCTTCCATGTGTGCTTTGTTGCTTCTAAGCTAGATGGGTTTACCTTCAAGTCTTTAAGACCCCAGACACTCTATCTTTTGATTACCGGGCACCACCCCCATCAGCTTTCTTCACTCATTTGCTTATGCACCCATTTGTCTTCAGCGATTGTATTGGGGAGGTGAGCACACAATGATGATTTTTTGTTCTTTGATGCCAGATAACTGATCTCTTTGACAGCTCGTGATCACACAGGCTATTGTGCTTCTTCCATGTGGGCTTTGTTGCTTCTGAGCTAGATGGCCGCATGGTGGAAAGGGGGAACCAATTACAAGGATCTACATATAACCTTCTCCCTGGGGGATGGACAACAGAAAAGTGGGTGAAGGGAGACATCAGACTGTGTAAGATATAACAAAATAATAATTTATAAATTATCCAGAGTTCATGAGGGAGGGGGGAGCGGGGAAGGAGGGGGAAAATGAGGAGCTGATGCCAGGGGCTTAGGTGGAGAGCAAATGTTTTGAGAATGATGAGGGCATTGAATGTACAGTACAAATGTGCTTGACACAACTGATATATGGATGGATTGTGATGAGTTGTATGAGCCCCTATTTAAAAAAAAAAAAAAGAATCCACCTCTCTTTGTTGTTATTACCACAGTCGATAGGTATTTGGAAGTGTTTTATCTTGGTTTCTTTAATTTCAAAAGGGCATATTTGAAAGCATTATCCGGTCAGGTTATCAATGACAAACTCATTGCCCATGTCTCACCACATGGAACTTTTAGCTATTTCTTCAAATACTTCATTTCTATGCTTTATATTTATTCTTCAAGCCTCTTCTTAACATGTGTACATAATACATCTCTGTGACGCATGACCAGACATTTCACATTTATCTGATTTTTTTTAAGTATAGTGATTGAAACTGCTTTCTATGAACAAGACAATACTTGAATAAAACAAAAGGTTGAGTTAAATACAAAGTCAGACTGTGAAATATCTTTAAGATGTATGTCCCCTCTCAGGATTGGTCTGGTTAATAGAAACATGAAATTGTGTTCATCTTTCAAAGATAGTTATTTCTTTCTCTGTACTTAACACCTCTAGTTAATTCTTCCATACAAAGTGTATGAAATAAATTTGTATTTGCTTTTAGGTTTTAAAAATTCTGCTTTGAACAGTTTTATTAAAATAAGTTTGTAGTGTTTGAAACTTATCTATGAAAAAGTATCATGCTAAAAACCCTGAGGGAAAAAAACATTCGGCCAGAAAATTCTTTTTTGGGAGGTCCTGACTCTGCTAATATTAAGATCTTCCACAAGGTTTAGTTACTCTGGGCAGCAGTTTTGTTCATCAGAAGAACAAAAAGGAACAGAGAGAAAAAAATGGAAGGAACCAGAAAAAGGAGGGGAGAGGAGAAGGGCGACGGGGCAAATGATCAGCTCTGAAGACCCTTCCCACTCAAAGCCTCTTGCTCCTGTTACAAGAACATTCCCTCACTTGGGGCCAATCCTTCCGCTGAGGCTCACTGTGTGTGGCCCATTATACCACAAGCTTTGCAGGGACGATGTCACCTAACAGTCATTTTATGATGATTGTTGCCATTTTACAGGTAAGAAAGCATGGAAGCAAAACGAACGCCTGTGACATCAAGTTTCTATTTGCTTTTTTAGCAAAATAATCATTAGTTACCAAAAAGAGAAATAGCTGAGTAGATGAAATAATGAACTGAGAAAATGCTATCAAACCACTAAGGAAACACAGAGAACATATGGCAAAGTTGCTGAATTAGGGGCCCATGCTACTACATGCCACGACTGCTGTCACCATCAGCAGCTGCACTGCCACGTCTTCCAATTAGAAGCTAAGATGTTATGGACAAGCTAAGGCATGACATACATACTCAAGCAGAAACCTTCGTTTCTCAAAGAAACAACAGATAATGCCAGTAAAGGATCATTCAAAACTAACTTTTAGGCAAGCCTAAATGATAACTGGATGTAGGAAAATACTACCTTCATATCATCCTTTATTTTATATCAACAGGAAGATAATCAGTTAAAATTCAGGACACTGAGGAATCCATGTACAAAAATTAGGTTTTTAAAAAT